CCCAAAAATGTAGAGAAAATTGGGAGACCAAAAAACAAGCCCCAAATGAAAGAACAAGAGAAGTCTCCAGAAAAAGAGCTAAATGAAATGGAGGGAAGCAATCTCTCAGATATACAGTTCAGAATACTAACTGTAACGATGCTCAACAGCATGAAAAAAGATATGGAAACTGAAAAATGACCAGTCAGAAATGAAGAATGACACAGCAGAAATAAAGAACACACAGCAGATTAGTGGAAGCTGAGGATCGGATCATTGAATTAGAAGACAGGGTAGAAAAAAAATCACTCGATCAGAGACCCAAAAACAAAAAAACAATTAAACAGGAGAACAAAGTGAGCTGTGGGAAAGCATGAAATGTAACAATATTCATACTATAGAAGTGCCAGAGGAGGTCAGCCTTATGGGGGCTCCTTTGTAGGTAACAGACTGCTTTACTCTAGCTTTCTTTAAGATTCTCTCTTTGTCTTGAATTCTTGGGATTTTAATTATGATGTGTCTGGGCACAGGCCTCTTTGCATTCTTCTTGCTTGGCACTGTCTGTGCCTCCTGAACTTGTGTGACTTTGTCCTTTACCAGGTCAGGTAACTTTTCTGCCATTATTTCATCAAACAGAATCTTAAAGAAAGCGAGAGTAAAGCAATCTGTTACCTACAAAGGAGCCCCCANCTGTCTCTTATACACATCTAGATGTGTATAAGAGACAGGTTACCTACAAAGGAGCCCCCATAAGGCTGTCATCTGACTTCTCATCAGAAACTCTAAAGGCCAGAAGGGAATGGCATGAAGTACTCAAGGTAATGCAAAACAAGGATCTGAAACCAAGACTATTCCACCCAGCAAGATTATCAATCAAGACAGATGGTGAAACAAAGAGCTTCCCAGGCAAAAAAAGGCTAAAAGACTTTATCACTACAAAACCAGCATTACAGAAAATGTTAAACACACTGCTAAAGAGAATGAGAAACATAGACATAAAGAAACAAAATGGCAGTAGGTAAGTATCTTTCAATAATAACCTTAAACGTAAATGGATTAAATGCCCCAATAAAAAGACATAGGGTGGCTGAACACATAAGAAAACATGACCTAAATATATGCTGTCTGCAACAGACTTACCTCAGAACAAAAGACTCACACAGGATGAGAGTGAAGGAATAGAAAAAAATTTTCCGTGCACATGGAAATGAAAAAAAAAAACTAGAGTAGTAATACTCATATCAGACAAAATAGACTTCAAAATGAAGACCATAATGAGAGAAAAGAAAGGTCATTACATAATACTAAAGGGCTCAATCCAAGAAGAGGATATAACCCTGATAAATATATACGCACCCAATAGAGGAGCACCTAAATTTATAAAAAACTTCTAGAGGACTTTAAGGAAGAGATCAACAGCAACACAGTCATACTAGGGGAATTTTACATGCCACTGAATTCACTGGATAGGTCTTCCAGACAAAAAATTCAACAAGGAAACAGTAATCCTAAATGACACACTAGTTCAGATGGATTTGACATTTATAGAACTTTCTCCTCCAAAGCTGCAGAATATACATTCTTCTCAAGTGCACATGGGATGTTTTCAAAGATACACCACATGTTAAGACACAAAACAAATCTCTACAATTCAAGAAGACTGAAATCATATCAAGTAACTTCTCAGACCACAGTGCCATGAAATTAGAAATCAACTACAATAAAAACACTAAAAAACATTTAAACACATGGAGGGTGAAAAGCATGTTTTTTAAAAAATGAATGTGTTACCAAAGAGATCAAGAAATATATCAAAAACTTCGTGGAAACAAATGAAAATGAACACACAGCAACTCCAAATCAATGGGACACAATGAAAGCAGTCCTGAGAGGGAAGTTCATAGCACTACCAGCCTTCCTCAAAAAATAAGAAAAACTTCAAATAGACTCTATAACCCTAACTTAAAACTTAGAAAGAGAACAAGAAAAGCCCAGAGTAACTAGAAGGAAATAAATAATAAAGATCAGAGCAGAAATAAATGATATAGAGACTAAAAAAACAATACAAAAGATCAATGAAACCAAGAGCTGGTTCTTTGAAAAGATAAACGAAATTTACGAACCTTTAGCCAAACTCATCAAGAAACAGAGAGGAACCAAATAAACAAAATCAGAAAAGAAAGAGGTGAAATAACATCTGACCAACAGAAATACAAAGGATTGTAAGAAAATACTATGAACAACTATATGCCACCACGCTGGACAACCTGGATGAAATGGACAAATTCCTAGAAAAATACAACCTCCCAAAACTCAATCAGGAAGAGTCAGAAAACCTGAATAAGCTGAAAACTGCTGATGAAGTTGAAGCAGTAATCAAAACACTCCCAGCACACAAAATCTCTGGCCTGGACAACTTCACAGGGGAGTTTTACCAAACATTCAAAGAAGAATTAACACCTATCCTCCTCAAACTATTTCAAAAAATCCAAGAGGAAGGAACACTTCCAAAAGCTCTTTTTACAAGGCCAGCATTAGCCTAATTCCACAACCAGATCAAGACACTACAAAGAAAGAGAATTACAGGCCAATATCCCTGATGAACATTGATACTAAATCCTCAACAAAATATTAGCAAATCGGATCCAGCAATATAGTAAAAAGATCATACACCATGACCAAGTGGGATTTATTCTGGAGATGCGATATTCACAAATCAATAAACATGATACACCAATAATGAACTCTCAGAAAAAGAAACTAAAAAAAAATCCACTTTACCATTGCTAATAAAAATATAAAATATTTTTATATTTTTCAAACTTAACCGAAGATATAAAAGACCTTCACTCAGAAAACTATAGGACACTATGGAAAACAGTATAGAGTTTCCTCAAAAAATTAAAAATGGAACTGCTGTTATACCCAGTGATCCCACTTCTAGGAATATATCCTAAGAATCCTGAAACACTAATCAGAAAGTACTTATGCACCCCTATGTTCATAGCAGCACAATTTACAATAGCTAATATCTGGAAACAACCCAAGTGCCCATCAGTAGATGAGTGGATAATAAAGCTGTGGCACATTTACACCATGGAATACTATGCGGCTGTAAAAAACGATATTTTATCCTTTGACATAGCATGGAGGGACCTAGAAAGTATTATGCTAAGTGATATAAGCCAGTCAGAGAAAGACAAATACCACATGATCTTACTTATATGTGGAATATAATAAACAAAATAAACTAATAAACAAAATGAATCCAGAGACTTAAAAGAATGGAAAAGACTGAGGGATCTCAGAGAGAAGGTGGGGATGGGGAAGTGGGTGGGGAGAGATTAATCAAATAACTTATATGTTTAGGATGTGTGGTAGAGTGGATCAATTCAATGGGGATAAAAAGAGGACATCTGTAATATTTTCAACATTAAAGATAAAGAAACTTAAAATAAATAAATAAAGCTACCTTAAATTTTAAAAAAGTTCATATCAGCACATATGTGATTTAATATTTTTTCATGGGGATCAAATCACTAAGATGTGCACCTGAAACCAATAGGATATTGTGTGTCAATTATATTCTAATAAAAGAATTTTAAAATAAATAAAAGTAATGAATTTTCTTCCCATCACCATGTATTCCCCCATACCTTCTTCCACCTCCACAATCACCACCCTGTTGTCCATGTCCATGAGTTCTTTCTCTTCTTTTTTCTTTTCTTTTTATTTTCCTCAATCCCTTCACCCCTTCCATCCCACTCCCAACTTGTTTATACATTTGTGAATATCCATGGAAATTTGGTCTATTCTGAACACAAGTTAAATGTCACAAGGTCTACTCATAAACTGGATTAAACCTTGGACAGTCTACTGCATGATAAAGCATTATAAAATTTCAAGCTAATCTTAATAAGAAAATACTCAAAATTCCTCATCAAATATAAAATAATATGTTTCAGAAGAGTGAGCCTTACAGTTAAATCCCTAATCCAAAAAAATCAGAGACTTCAGTGTACTGGGTTTTTTTCCTGGTAGATGTTTCTCAGTTTATACTAATGTATTATATAACTGTTTCCTCACTGAACTACTGCAAACAAGTTTGTAGAAATGCAAAACCAAGTTAAAAGAAATATTTTAAACAGGTATTTTCACATAGATGCAATAAAGAAATAAAGCAAACTTCAAGCCAAATTCACTTTAATATGTGATTAGTATATTTCCACATTTTTCTATACTATATATATATATATACATATTTATATATGTATATGCACACACACAATATATAGTGTGTTAACAATGAAAAATGTTTATTAACTCACTCAAGAGATGTTTACCGAGCATTTATTCTATAAGTTCAGCAGTGAAATGATACACAGGTTAAAGGTCATTAGGTAAAATGTTATAAGTAAAAGGTTATACGTGTAATGGAAAAAGATGATAAAGATTCTGTAGAAATATATGACAAAGAACATTAAAAAACAAATTGGAAAAAATAAACTAAATAGACTAAAAAAATTAAGACATAAACTAAAATAAATTAGGTCAAAGAAGAAATTATTTTCTAGAATAGACTTCTATTTTAGAGGGAGATAAAATTGAGTAGCTAGAATAAATGACCATGGAGTCCACTTTCATCCTTTAAAGTCCATAATGCTATAATTTCTTTAACGAATCTCATAAGCCAATATGAGTATCTGCTTATACATGCATAAAACATTCCTATAAAAACATGCAAAAGCTAACAAGGGCATTGTCCATGAAGAGAAACGGGTAGGACAGGAGACATGGTAGGGACTTTACATGTAAGCACTTCATATCAAAAAGCTTTCATTTTTAATCATATGAATATATTATCTATTCAAAAATGGATAAATAAATGTATACCATATATAGCACAAATTTTATCAGAAAATTCAAGGGCAATATAAAATAGGAAGTTATTTGAAATTTGAGGGAAAAGTCAATAAGCACACACATGAAGGAATATCATGAAGAAACTAAGAAGTGGTTACCTTTCTGTCACAGGTTTTAGGGCTACCAGAAATGTTTTGCTTAAGGAAGCCAGCTGTTGTTGACCAGCGTGTGGGGTTTTTTCGTGAAGGCTCTTCAGAGGAAAAATTACTATCACTGACAGAAGTTGAGAGGCCAATTAAAGCTGGGTCACTGCTTCGTCGGACATGAAGAGGCATATCTACAAATACAAAAAAGTATGTTTTTTAAAAAAAGATAACTAATGATAGAAAACTATATGTTAGGATAAAAGCAGTTAAATCCCAAAGATTAAAGAGCAGAATAACAATTTAAGATGGATCAGCATTCTAAGCAGAAATTCCGTTAGTTCCTTTAAAACAATTTACGGTGAAAGAAATGTGGAATGTGAGAAACAACCTGCTCTGAAGTAAGACTGCCTGGCTTGAATTTGTGCTTCACCACTTGTTACCTGTGTGGTTCTGGGCAAGCTGCCTAACTAGCCTCTGTCTCTAGTGCATTCATAGGCAAATGGAAATAAAACAGTACTTCTTTCAGTCAGGACTAAATGAGATAAAATGCTTAAAACAATGCCAGACACACTGTGTGTACTTGACAGAGAGTAATAATAACCATTACTGTCGTTATTATCCTGGATTAAAAATAGAGAATCTAAACAATATTTGGCTAGACTATTGAAGAATTATGTTGAATATTTATTTTGTTCAATAGAGTATTATCACAACGTTAATCATATTGTGTGTCCTTAAGATTAAAAACATCTTGAGTCCAGCCAGGCATGGCTCAGTAGTTAAGCATCGACCTAGGATCCAGGCGATCAGGGTTCGATTCCCGGTCAGGGCACATGCCCGGGTTGCGGGCTCGATCAATGACTCTCTCATCATTGATGTTTCTATCTCTCTCTCTCCCTCTCCTTTCCTCTCTGAAATCAATAAAGATATATTTTTAAAAAAAAAAAAATCTTGAAAGTAGTAAGTTAATAAGCAGGTAGTACCTGGTATATACACACACACAAAATGACATAAAAGACAGTGTTTTAATAACTACTCATATAAGAGAGGAGTCTGCAATTGCTGTAACAAAATCGACAGAACACTCAAGCTAACATCTGTATCAGTAGCACTGAGAAGATTTTGGCAGATATGATCACTTACAGCAGAGAAGAAACAGAAAAATAAAAGCATGTGAGTCTATAACATTGAGAATCAGACCAAAACCCCTACTCATCAATTGAGTGAAATCACTTAAAAACATCACTTGAGACAAAAAAATTAGATTGAATTATGTTAAACCTGTTTTCAAAAACCAGGATGCAAGTTAAATATTTATAAAAAACCTCTAGAAAAACAGCTTTAAGGGTGTACTAAACTCAGCATTTACACCACATGAAACAGTTTAGAACACTAATGCCTTGGTCAGTGGTGTAAATGTATAGATCCTTGAGGATGCTAAACTAAAGACAGACTAATTACATGCATTAAAGATTATATTTAAATCATTGTCAATTCAACAGTCTCAAAAATGTGAAAGCAAATTACAAATAATCAGAGAAAACAAAAGCATATGAAGCATAATAATATCGCACTTAACACTTGCTTCTACATCATTAGGATATAATAATAATAAAGCCTAAGTGGCATTACCAGAGGAAAAATATTCTGGATATCTTAATTTGCTGGGAGAAACACAAACATGAAAATTATAGAGAAGAATAATTTCCAATATTTAAGTATATGTAGTCACTCTCAAAATCAGTTCACAAAAATACACATATAAGAATCTATGCTACAATGCTGTTAATACAAACAAAGTTTTCTCCAAATTAACAAAATTGTTCCTAGATTCACAAAATTCAAAATAAAAGCAAAAAGCAACAAAATGGGGAAGGGGAAATACAATACTTCTGGGCAATTATAATTCTGCTTCTTGGTTATGGGTTCTGTTGCTTTTTTGATATAAGGCCCTTAATTGTTTAATTGGTAAAGAACTCTGTACACCTCAATTTCTGTTTGTGTGTGTGTGTTTAAGTCTAAAAGAAGCACTATTAATTCACAAAAGAAGATCTCTAAAAAATGGTACAGAGGCAATGACCAAAATTACTACCCACAATAATAAAATAACTATATAAAAGTACATTTCAACGGCAAAATCAATTTGCTTACACACAATAAAACAGCTTACTCTACTTGTTTTTGAAAATTTTCCCAGAAGAGATAAGTTGCATACATGATTCAGATTATATAAATAATATGAACCATCATCTGATGGGACATGATCGTTGACTGTGTTAATATGTTAGTATGAAACAGAGAAAAATAATCAGCATTCTACCTTTTGGTATCTGTAACTCTCAATACTGTAGATGCAGGAAAGAAAGGGGAAGGGGGGTTAGGTGGGTTACAGCAGAGACTCAGACCCCGCTGACTGACTGTTCTGGGCAGAGGCTGGAGCAGGGAACCAGGCAACATTTACTGCACAAACGGCAATGTGGAGGACACCACAGCAGATGTGCTATCAGGCAGCCCTTCCTGTGAATTCTTCTCACATTCAACTCTTTATTTTCATTTTAGTGATATCTATAAAAGAAATTCATATAAATATAACCTGGATCTTTCATTTGTCCTACCTCATCACCAAGTATCCCCAAGCAAAATAGGACTCATGTTTACATTGGTATCCATTGTCAAATTCAGGAAGAGATCTAAGATTTGATTACCAGGTTAATGAAAAAAGAACATAAATCAATTTATAAAGTAAACTATGTGTTCTCACCAAACAAATACCAAATGGTATCATAATGATCTTGAAATCGAGGTTTTCCTGCAGTTCGATGTGCTAAAAGAACTGAGTCACCACAGCGCACACAAGCAGCATAACCAGGTCCAAATGGCAAGACCTGTGCCATAGGACCTCAGCCTACATTCATGCTGCTTGCAATTCAAAATCAGCAACACCTGTTTCCCACATTGATGGTGTGAACTTACATTTTTATTGGTTTATAATTTCTTCTTGGTTTTATGACTGCATGAAAATTATAAGGCATTTTCACCCAGTTTATACACACATTCAAGTCACATATTATAACCAATAATTTAACTAGGAGAAATCTAAATCTTTTTGTTTTAATGAGTCTCTACAGTTGTCACACTGAAGAAACATGTGACTCCACAGATGAAAAAGCTGAAGCTCAGAAAGATGACAAGAGGAGCACAGGGGCAATTTCCTGGATAGAACTTGAGGTTCCTGGGTCAATGCTCAATCACTACCCAAATTATAAAATTAGTTCTATTATTCAACAGTTCATTGGAAAAGAAGTTATATTTCTATCTACATGCAGATAAAAATATTAGTCTCAATTCTGTAAAAGGGATGAATTTTATTGTTTTCAAAGTAAAATTATATACACTGAGAAATCATACACTGGTTTTAACTAAGCATCATTTGATTTGGGTGAATTTAAAAAATGTTACATTAGCTATACATACATATTAAAATAACAGGCATCCCAATTTTGGAAATGTTAAAATAAAAGAAATTAAAAACATATACACTGGCTAAATAGATGTATAAGATAAAAAGAATGCCCAGAGAAAAAGGGCCTATACCAGGCCTTCTCAAACTTTCATCTCAGGATCCATTCACACCCTGAAAATTATTGAGGACCCCAAGAGGTTTTCTTTATGTGGGGTATGGCTAAGAACAGTGACCGTATTAGAAGTAAAAATTAAAAATTTTTTAAATATTTATTAATTCATGTTTATGTTAGTAATAAAACCATTACATGTTAGCATCAAGAACAGAATTATACAAAAATTCTATTTCACAAAACAGCGAAGTTAGTGGAACTGTAGCACTGTTTTACATTTTGCTTAATCAGAGACATCTGGGTTCTCATCTCTGCTTCTGTATTCAATCTGCTGCAGCATGCCAAAGTATATTTTAAAACTCCATAAATATTTAGTTGGAAGAGGAAATAGTATTTTAATATTCTTTCTAGATAACAGTGAATATTCTTTTTTGATATTGCACCAAAACTTGGCAAATGAATTTCCCAAAGGTTAGCTGCAATAAGGAATGTAAACTTTTCATTCTTTGTTACATTAAAATCTACTCATCTATGTTACACTTTGAATGGATCATAAGTCATGAAAAAAATGTTAACGTTTGTTATTTGGAATATATTAGTAATTGGGTTGTGCCAATCTTCCAAATGCTGATATATTTCTTCATATCAGAAAATCACATATGTGAACATCACTAATAATTTCATCAGAAAAGTCACTAAGCATTGGGAAGTTGTCATGCTCACAGCAGGATATATAAGTTTTCCAAAATCTAATTTTCACTAGAAAGCCTAACCATTATCTTCGGCAACAAACACTATCAGTTGTTTGCCTTGTGGTGACAGGCTCACTTCATTGGTTTTCTAGATCTTCCAGACACCAAAGGCAAAATAACCCCAGTTTTTTCTGTCCTTCTTTCAAATAAAAATGGTGTTCCATTACAAAATAGCTACTTCAGATTACATCTCAAGCCATCACATAAAAGTTTTCCTGAAGACAACCAATGATCTTCAATACGTGCAAGTACCTTTTGCCTACCTCGCACTTTGTCACTCAAAATATTAATTTGTACACTTGGGGATCAGTATTTAATAAAAGTAATCATTCTTTCTACTTCATCAAGGAGATTAAAATGGCTTAAAAAAAAACAAAACCGGTATGTGTTCTGGGTGAACACATATGGTGCCAGTGCTTTGATGTGTGCAAGGGGGCCTACATTTTACCCATCAGTACCTGGGCAACATTGATGCAGATAGCAACCCAGCGAACAACACAAAATGTATCTTAGTCTATGAAAAAAACACTTTATCCTCATTGACTCCTTGAAATGGTCTTAATGACTTCCAAGGACCCACAGACTACACATGAAGAACCACTTAGCTAGACCTGCAACCCTGGCAAGTCAGCTCACCTCTCCAGGACTCAGTCTCCTAATCTATAAAACCAGAGGCTACACTGATGGGGTCAGATCTTTTTCACGCTAAAATATGTGTGATTCCACATTAGTTTATATACTCCTAAACCAGTGATCACTTGCCAAGCCTCATCCCAGCAGAACTTAAAACAATTTATGAAAAACGTACTTAAAAAATAATAATAAAAACATTTCAAAGCCTTATCAGCAACCATTACCAGGTGC